TTTTTTCTTTCTTGGTTTTTTTTGTTTTCTATTTTTTTTTCGCTTATTCTTTTCTTGTTTCTTAGAGCTGTCATTTTTGGGGTCTTCTATTTCAGATAAGTATTTTTTTTTTTTTTTTTTTAACTTCATTCTTGCGTTTGCTAAATATTCTCTTTCTTCTTTGGTTTGTTTAAGATTCGGTTGAACGTGAAATCAATTCTAGAGAATCGGTGGAGTTGTCTCTTCGGTGCTTCGTCGTTGGAGTCATCGTCTATGGTGTTGGAATCTTTGTCGTTGGAGTCATAATCTTTGGTATTGGAGCTTTCGTCGTTGGAGTCGTTGACTTGGTGTTAAAGTCTTCGTTGCGGTGTAAAATTCGTTGGGTTTATTTGTTGTAGTTATTTGAAGTAGGTGGGTTTGACTTATTTGTTGCGCGATTCGTTTTTTATGCATTTGTAGTTTTTTTAATTTAATAAAGTTACACGATCCATGTGATCGATTTGGATTGGTCGATCACAGGATCACCATGGCGACGGGTCGCACATGCCAAATGTATGTGTACAAAACCGGTTCGAATCTCAATACGTAAGTTTATATGCATGAGAATTTTTTTTAAAAAATAACACCCGATAATAAGCTACCTCTGCTATCGAGAATAAATTTTTAAAAACCTGTATAACCCGAAAATAAGCTACTCTCGATTTTTTAGGCTTAAAATCATCCAAAAAAAAGTAGCTTATTTTCGGGAATATATGGTAATAACCCAGTTAACAACCTAGTTAACAACTCTTTTAACAACCCAGTTAATGATCCTTTTAACAACCTAGTTAACACCCTTTTAACAAACCAGTTAACGACCCTTTTAACAACCCAATTAACAACCCAGTTAACATACCAGTTAACATATCTGTTAATGTACCTATTAACGTCCCAGTTAATGTACCAGTTAATGTATCTGTTAACATACCTAATATTATACTAAAATTACTACTATTTGTCAAAAATTTGAATATTAAACTAAAGCTAAAAATAAATATATAATAAATATAAATTATACTAATAAAATATACTAATAAAATCTTCTAAAATATGCTAATAAAATCTACTAATATAACAGTACCTTGCAAATGCCAAAACATACACTTGCAGTCAGGACAAACTATTAAATCACTGTGTTTTGCCCAAATATGTCTTGCCTAGCAACACTTGGCCTCCTTCAGAAATCCAGAACTCACTCTGAACTTATTTCCCTCAGATTCATCGGTTAGCTATTGCTCGCCCCATCAAGATTTTCACTTTACAATAGAATGCTACCAAACTGATGATACTTTCTCGTAGAGAAGGAAAAAAAGAAAAAAAATAGGATAATAAGGAACGAAAAAGGAGTATGTAATAAAAATAAATATATCAAAGAAAACGAATACTAATATTAAGAAATATAAAAAACTAAACTAAAAATCTAAAAGAAACTATTGTTAAAAAGAAGAAAACCTGCTAACCAGACGAAAATTTCTAATTATACAGAGTAACAATCTACTATTAAGTGCAAGAGTCTTGACAAAAATAGAAACATAAAACTAAAACAAAATGCACTATAACTCATGCCAGAGGCTAAAAATTATACAAGGAACATGTTGTATATCTCAAAACACTTTGCTTGACTTTTTCTAATTAAATACATATCTTTATCCAAAAGTATAAAGACTTTAAAAACTCTATGTGACTTGTTGTTATCATTTCATTCATTTTGTAATACATGCCAATTTGTCATCATCTAGTTTCCTGATATAGAAGTGCTAAACAATGCCAATCTTTTGAAGGTAAGCCGAATTCCTACTTTTTGTCGAAAATTTTGAAGCTAAAAGACAGCAAGAAAATATTGAGTTTCTGCGAGTTTTCTAACCAAGGAGTATTGTTCCAAGAGTTCTTCAAAGTCTTCCATCTTTAAACTAACTTTAGTTTTCTTTTCTACTTGCTGTTCTCAGAGACTCCTTCGGTTTAGATGCCAAATGCAAAGGGAAGTTCACACAAGAAATAGCAGCAAACCAAGGCTTAACCTCTTTGCAAACTGTCCAAAATGCCTGCTCCTCGGTATATTACATTTAAAGACTTCATTGACAACAGTTTGTATCAAGAAAACTTCAAGTTGTTGTTGACTTCTAGACTTGAATCTTCAACTTGCTTTTGGTATTAGGTTGGTACAAGTGATTGTTAGGAAGAGTGCAATTGAGTGGCAATAGTTATTATATTATTTTATATAAAATTATAATATAATTAATAGTTTTTTGTAACTATGTTTTAATCTAGTAATCCAAAATAAATAATTTTAATACTATTAGATTTGTTTATTAAGATAAATCTAATAATCCTAAAATTATCTAATTTGGATTATTGAGTTACAAAATAAAAAATTATATATAGTGTGAGTCAATAGAAATCAAGCAAACTTTATATAATAAAATTTTTTATAACTTTAAACAAGAATAACTTAACAAAAACTTAACCAAATTTAATAAATTTTTTTTTAAATAATTTTTACAAATTTGTAGAATTAATTTAAAAAAATTTTTACTAAATTTGATTAAGTTTTTGTCAAGTTATCCTTGTTTAAAGTTTTAAAAAAACTTGTTAAAAAATATTTACTTGGTTTCTATTAATTCAACCCCATATATAAATATATAGATTTTGAATTCTTTTTTATATAATTTGAGGTGATAAGAGGTTCTATATAGAGATATATAATATTATTTATAGTTGCTTCTTTATTGATATAAATTTAACCTTATAAATTTTATAATTTATAAACTTAAATCTTTAAAAATTTTCTAATTATACAAAAAAAGATTCAAATTTGGTAATATCTAAAATTATAATATATGTAATTGTTTTAAATAGCTTTATTTAAGACATAAATATTAATTGACTTAGTAAAATTTTGATTTTAATATATAGCTACAAATATCGATTAGAAAAGTAATGTTGAAGTTAATGCTAAATTAGATGATGTTAAAATTTGGTACCTTAATTTGAAAATATAAACCTTACTAAAAATCCACCTATACTCTTTATTATAAACACTAATCCTAAATTCTAATCTACCTATTAATTAAAAAAAAACTAAACAAAACATCTCAAAATAGCGATAAATTTTCATAATAAAGTCAAAATTTCAGCATCATCCTCGACAAATAATAAAATTCGATAACTTTTTATGTGAGCAATTCAACCAAGAAAGTTATTTTATATGCAAATAACCTAAATAACCTAATGACTTGGGGTCATTTAAATTTGATCAAATGACCCAAGTCATTTACTATTCCTGCTCAGATTATTCTTTGCATAAAGTACGTAACTAATTCTGCTTAGTTTGTATGAATAATTAACAAATATATATATCTAATACTGTATTAAAAGTATCTTACGCGTTACCTTTTTACACGAAATTTTAATAAATTTATTAAATGAATAAAGAAAAATTTGTATTTTATAGTTCTATGATTTCAATTTTTTTTGTTTTTTTTTTGGTTTTTTTATGTTTCAAATCGTAAAATCATTATAGGATTTTATAAAGAATAAATATAAGAATAAATATAAGAATTAAAGAAAATTTACGTACGTACGTACTGTAAGTACAATAAACAGTACGCACACGTATTTATTTATACATACAATACATACATATATATTTGTTTATTTGCTCTTTAGCGTTAGTTGTTCGGCATATTATGTGTGTGGCCCACTAGTTAAAAAACATGGCACTTTTTGCATTAGACACGTGAAAAATCGGCAGCGTTTTTGTGTGATATGTAATATTGTGTTTTATACGTATGACGATGATTATAATCTACGTTTGTTACTTTTTAACATCTTGCATTAAAAAATTTCACAAAATTATGCTTAAAGATCGTGCATTGTCAATCAAAAAGAAATTATTTAAATATATATAGTATATATCGATATACAGTATTTAACAATAATTAATCATCAGATAATCAAGATCGCAGGAAAAACCATTGATAATGCAAGAAAATTAGTTACTCTATTTTACATACAATTTTATTTAAATTTTTTTGTTTTTGGGGTTTGTAGAAACAATAGTAGAAAGAAAAAGAAAAAAGAAAAAACTATTTTAAAAGAAAAGAAAAAAAAAGAAAAAAATATTGAACAATCATTTTGTAATTCCCACCCAAGAAAATTGTTTCCTTAAATTCACAATAGAAAGAAAATTTTTTTTTATCTTGTAATTTTTTTCTGTACCTTTGCGGTTCTCTCACCATTTTGTCTAATATAAAAAAAAAAAAACCAAAAAATCTAAAGTCCATCGAGAGAATCCTAATGATTTGTGTAAAAATTTGAAAGAAAAAAAAAAGAAAACTAAAACGCAAATGTTTGTTGATTTTTTTAAAAGCTTATATAAAAGGTAAATGCAAGCAGAAGAAAAAAAACGAGCATAAAAAAGAAAAGAAGAAAAAAAAAAAAAGACTATACAAGATTTATAAATTTTTATCTAGAAATAAAAAAGTGCTCGTTAAAGGTTTACCATAGACGTAATATAATAGAAAGTCTAAATATTATCTATTCCCAATTACTATTGCTGATTTCTTCCGTTGAAGATTGATCTTCTCGCTGCCGATATTCGAAACGTCTACCACCGATTGAGTTTGATTCTTCTACAGGTGTACCATCCGGGGACGGTGTATGTAATACGGTGTTCTATATTTAATATAAAATCACCAGTTCTATCAGTTTCATCAATGTTCATCATTTTCATCATTTCTATTATTTATATCATTTATAATATCAACCCCATTTATAATTATATTTTTTTTCTCAGTTAAAAAAAAAAAAGGAAAGAATAACCTCAGAACCTAATTAAGGGGGAAAGGAAAACTTACCTGTTGTGCATTTGTCACCATTTGAAGATTACTATTAGGGTAACCTTGTGGCGTCGATGGAGTAGCACCTGGAGTAGCAGTACCAGCACCTAGACCGGGTAATTGATAACCGACGGTACTGCTTCTTGGTGAAGACTGAGATGATGATGGAGTCGTTGCTTCAGGAAACTCGTACTTTACTCGTTTACCGGAATGACCCCAACCGGAAAAGGCAGAATTATTAGGAGAAGAATTTGAGCTTACATTCATTGGACTTGGAAAAGTACCAGCAGCAGCATTAACTGCAGCACTAACAGCAATACTGCTTAATGGAGGTGGAGGATGCATAGCAAGAGGGGGACTTGATTGATTCGAATTATTAACATTATTATATTCATCATTTTCTTCTTCACCTACGAAACCTCTTTTTTGACCAATAAGTTGCGGTGAAGCACTTTGAGCCGGACTTCCTGCCACTTCGGTGGCCGAGACAATATTATAAAGACCTTGATTGTTAGGTCGCATGTAACCGTTACTACCGGGATTTTCTTCAGACTTTTTTTTTATTTTTTTTATTATTATTTTTTTTTTTTTAAAATTTTTTAAAAAATTTTTTTGATATTTTTTTTTTTTTTTTTATTTAGTATAAAAATTTTTTTACGTTAAAAATCGGTAGGAACTTTACATAAAAGGTGTTTGTAGTTTGTTGGAATAATTAGCCGTCGTCGCATTGCAACCACTCACCGGCGGTCCAGGAACCACAGCAACACCTTGCTGTCCTTGAGGTTGACCATTTATTAAACCATAACTAGTGTCATAATCTTCTAAATGAGTTTGTGGATGATTATGATTTCTAGGTGGTTGAGTCGGATATATTGGTACAGCAGGTGGATTAGCAACATGTTGAGGACGTTCAGCATATCCAGCGGCTGGTGGATACGGAGATGAACCATGATCTTGGCCTTGCGGTACATTTGGATTTCCCATGATCGCGTTACCATTTCCATATGGATACCATTGTCGTGACGTATCAGGAGAATATGGTGTGTTGTTGAAATTATTTGCATAAGGATGAGTCGGTCGCCATTGAGATTGTGGACCATTACCTATAGATGGAATTCTAGTTGACATTGATGGACCATATGAATTATGAAGAAAAATGCTAGGATCATCCACGAATAAAGGATAGAGCTATGATGAATTAAGATGAATTAAGATGAATTAAGTAAATTAAGATGAATTGAAATGAATTAAATAAATTAAATCAATTAATAAATTAATGCATTAGATAATATTAAAGTCACATGAGAATAGGTTTATAAATTTACCAATTCGCTGATCTTAAATTGAGCTGCAAGAGTTTTTGCTCGTTGAAAAGTAATCCTGTGATTAATGATTATTATGTTAATTATTATAATTGGTGATTAGAACTTTTATAGTTAATAGTAAATAGTAATTGATAATCATAATAATAATTACTAACTATGATTAATAATAATTACTATGATTAATCATAATTATTATTTATTATAATAATAATAATTATTATTATTATTATAATTATAATTACAATTATTAATTCTTGGTACTATTAATTATTATTATTAATTATTATTGTTGTTAAAGGTTCAAGTGATTCAAGTTCGATGATGATCAACAAGATGCGAGATCAAAAAACGGATCAGGTCACAAGATGAGCACAAGATCAAACAAACATCAAAGATGACATCAAAGATAATTTCAAAGATGAAAAAAAACCGCCACAAATAAAGGCGTAATAAAGAGATGTAATAATAATAATAATAATTTAATAAATCTAAAGAAGAAACTTACCAAACACCTTTTAGATGCATAGCCCCAACTTTCACGACGACTCGACCTTTTTCATTCTTAAGAATACCATCTCGTTTACCACGTGACATTCCAACAACATTTAATAATTTCGTTCCGTTGATCATGTCGTTATCTGCAGGTAAAAAAAAGTCCGAAAGTTTGGGATAGGTTAAAGATAAAATAATATTAAGTAAAGATCAACGTTGGTTGAGGTTAAAGAAATCATATGATCAAATATTATGTCACGAATTCATAATATCATAACATAATATCATAATATCATAACATAATAAATGATTGAAAAAATTAAAGCGCGTTTATAAAGTTCAAGAGGAGATATATATACCTTGTCGCCTAGCCACACAGATACCACGAGCGTCAACCTGATAACATAGAGTTCCTTCATCTTCCCATATAGTAGTGGTAAGTTTTGGACGAGGAGTATGACCTTGAGCCATTCCTGAACCAGCACTACCGTAACCAACAGCAGGAACGAAAGCACTACCACCATTAGCGGATAAAACAGTAGCACCATTTGCAGGGTTACCACCACCAAAGTAAGGAGTCCAAAAAGGGTGGGTGGTAGGGTTAGCAAAATGATGTTGAGGATAAATCATAGTACTACCGTTGTTTTCTAAATGAGTAGTCATCATTGCTGAGGCTTCTTGAGGTAAAGAGCTTTTAGTAGTAGTAGGGGTGGTTACCGGAGTAGGGTGTTGAGGAGCCTGGTTATAAGGAGTAAAAGCCGAATGGGGACCGGAAGCAGAAGGAGGAGTCTGAGTAGCGGTCGAGGTTAAAGAACGTGGACCAGCAGTAGAGTTCTGGGTGCTGGAGGAGGTATTATTCGAAGGTTGCGTGTTTGTCGACGTGGTGGAAGGTATACTGATATTTCGAGGAGAGTTTGGCTTGTTGTTTGGAGACGTCGTGGTGTTAGAGAACGAAGGAGCCGGAGAAGTCGGCGTAGTTGGGTGTTGTGGTGGTGAGAAATGAGTGCTGGCAGTTGTTAATGCAGGATTGGTGTTAGATGAATCGGTGAAAAGCTTATTTGAATTCTGGAAACCAGCCATAAATGAAAAGTTGTCGCGTATAATGTCTATGTAAGCGTCTGTATGTACCGCCAATCTGTTCTGTTTGAAATTTATATTTTTCAGCAACCAGCCGGACAGGAGCAAGGATAGTTGCAGTTGATGGTGTTCAGAGGAATTTGGTTGGTCGGACTTGTAGTTGAATTGTGGCGTGAGAAAATTGTGTGTAATAGGATTGGTTGGAGTTTAAGGAAAAAAAATTTCTATATACGGAGGAAGGGATATAATAAGGGGGATATAGTTTCTGATATAGGTAAAGTGATGACTGTATAGATACCCAAAGGAATAAGATCCGAAAATTTCTTCCAAGGGCGACAAATATGGCCTAAATACACACCTATAATTATAATAAAAAAAAAATTTTGTTACTGGAAGGTAGAACCACACGAACGATAAACGATAAACGATAACGGATGAACGATGATGATGAAGCGATGACGAAGCGATGAAATGAAGAGAGAGCCTGTTAATTTAAAGTGGATAATAACCGCGAGAAAGAATGACTGACTGACTGTAAAAAATGATTTCGATTTTCTATTTTTTTTTTTTTTTTCTCTTTTGATTTCTTTTTTTCTTTTTGTTTTTTTTTTTTTTTTGTGTGTGTGTGTATGTATATATATATATTATATATATTATATATATATTATATATATATATATATATTATATATTATTGTTATTAAATGAAAGAACGAAATAGATGGATAAAAAAAAAAAAATCTTTTTTTTTTTTTTCAAGGAAAAAAAAAAAAAGAGAAATATATTTATAGAATCTTTATTATTTATAAATCTTATACATAATAAGGATTGTCGTGCAAAAATTAATAAATAGGGCAACCAAAAACAGTTGATAAGAGTTAATAATATACGTACCGAAAATAAAGGTGGATTATTAGTCCGAGTAAAAAAGTCTGCTTGTTATATTTTTTTTGGGGTGCTTTACTTTAAAAAAAGAGGTGTATCCCGTCCAAAACTCTTGTTTTTTTTTTATAATAGTACTATTGTCCCTTTGTGTTTTTTTTATAAGTCAGTTTCGGTAGCGGAAAGGAGGTAGCCGACACGAGGAGAAAATCGTATTGGAAAAGGGGCGTAGAAACAAGGATTAGATAAAAATGTTGAATAAAATTAAAGTATTTATTTATTATTCACGATTTCAGTTGTAAATGATGGTTTTTAATTCAGGCGTGTGAAGATTTTTTTTTTAGATAGATGGAAGTGAAAAAAAGTCTATTGAAATTTGTACAGTACAAAAAAAAAAAAGTTTCAGGTTATTAGGTTATTAGCAATGTTTCAGAATGCTCTCTTCTTTTTTTTTTTTTCTTCGATGTAACAGTTTCTATTATGGTTTCGAAATCTATTATTATTTCAGTCTATGCGAACGGGGGAAAAGAATATACAAGAGGGAGGGAAAAAAAAAATAAAGATTTAACGTGAATTGTCAAAAGCAATTAAAGATTAAATCAAGAATTATTTTTGAAAGAATCTTTCTTTTGGCAGACAATAAAAGTTATTTTTTTTTGCCTGCGTTTTTATTATTTTTTGATTCGAAGACGATTCAATTGAAGATAGCCCGGGGAACGGGATGAACAACGCTATATATATATTCAAAAAAAAAAAAAAAAAGTATAATATATATTCACCCGTAATCTGTACGATAATATGCAATTAAGAGCAAAGAAAGGGAGGCTCAGGAGTGGAAGAAAGGTGGATTTATATTATAACGAACATGGTGTTGGTTAAAAGCGTGACAGGTGATTTATTAATAGTATTAATAGAATTAATATTATATATAATAAAAAGGTAAACTAAAAATACTAAATATAAAAATAAAGGAAAGAAGAGAAGTCGGTAAATATAAATTAAATAAAGTAGCGTTACAACAACGACATCAAGCAGAATAGAGATAAACATCGAAAATATCATTTAAGATTGTTTGAGTAAGATAAATCTTATTGGTGCCGATACAGAGACCCAGGACCAATTGAAACGAAAAAATTGATTACTATATACAAAATATATACAGTAAGTAATATAGTAATATAATAAGGTAATATAATAAGGTAATATAGTAGATAATATAGTAATATAAGTAATAATAAGTAATATAGTAGTATAATCAATTGAGTAATATAGTTGAATAATATAGTAAGTATAATAAGAGAAATGATCAGTGTAAGGGAAAAAAAAAGAGAGGGCACACAAGTACAAGAAACGAGCGACACAAACACAATTTTGAAAACAGATGCAAAAAAAATCATTTGACCTTTTTTGTCAAATTCCTGTTGCAAATTTATTATTCGTCTTGTGTTCACGCACCAGTATTAAATAAACTTTGAAAGTCAATCAGTTTATTTTATAAACTTAAAGAACGGCTAATAACTGTAATAACTGATAAATTATATCACATAATGGATCAGAAATATAAAGTAATATACTCTATTTTATTTTATCTTATTTTATCTGATTATTGGATTTTATCACTAACGTAATATTAAAAATATATTGAATATTGATATTGATATTTAAAAAATTATTATCGGATTAAAAAAATCGAGTCGATTTATAACAAGAGACTACGGAGACAAGAAGCTCGCATACAAGTTAAAAGTATTCGGTATCAGTATGTACGTTGATATGTACTGTAGATTGTTGAAGAAGAACAGCACACTATGTACATTAATCGGTTTTAAAAAAATTATAATATATTTACATATATGTATGTTTGTATAAGAGTATCAAAAAAAAAAAAAAAATTTTTTTTTCAAACTCGTCGTGGTGTTTATTGAATATCTAAAGAAAGCTGCATATCTATCGAGAATCTATTGTGGTTGCAGAAAAGTTGCATTTTGTTGCGTAATATAAACACATATAAACATTTATATCTACTGTAATTTACAGAATTATACAGAAATACTACCGGACCAAACTCGAAATGGTATGCGCTATATGCCTACAATTGTTTGAACGAACAAAAAGGTTAAGAGACACGAGTCATCCGTTCCGTTCGTAATTATAATTATTTAATAGATAAAAGGTATATAAAAGATATTATAAAAGTAATAGATTATTTATTTAAAAGATTATTTTATTTTAAAAGATTATTTTATTTAAAAGATTATTTTATTTAAAAGATTATTTTATTTAAAAGATTATTTTATTTTAAAAGATAATTAAAAGATATTATTAAAAGATACTATTAAAAGCTATTATTAAAAGATATTAAAAGATGATAAGATAATAGGGATTACCCTGAAGATGAATTGTTTGGGTTGATATTCGGAGATTGCACACCCCCCTATATACTATTTGTGGATTTCTGAACGAAACATCATTCCAAACTAATATAAGAAATCCCGGTGATTTGGTGATTTGACAATGACGAATCAAAATCCATTGTCTCTTAAATGACAAATAAGTTATTATATATGTCATTAATATGTCATTGAATATTGTTGTTATCTCTTTTTTTATTTTATTTTATTTTTCCAAATTCTTTTATTTCTTTTATTTTTCTAAATTTCCTTTATTCCTCTAAATTTTTCTTTATTCTCTTGTTTCTTTTATTTCTTTTTATTTCTTTTTTTTCTTTTTTTTCTTTTTTTTCTTTTTTTTCTTTTTTTTCTTTTTTTTCTTTTTTTTCTTTTTTTTCTTTTTATTTCTTTTATTTATTTATCCTATCCTTGTTATATTTTAATAAATTTTAAATTTTTTTAAATTTTTAAATGTTTTAAATTTATAATTGTTTATCGAATATTCTATTTAATCTATTTGCCGAATTTCTTATCCGCCAAATAGTAAATCTAATTATTTAGATGGTTAGAATCTCTCGTGAAAATGAACTAAATTGGTTGTCACGGGTGTGTTAATTGTGTCGGGTAATGTTTGTAGATTTTCAATATTGGATGTCGAGTGTGAGTTGGATATGTTGGGGTGTTAGTGTTGTATTAGATATTGTATTAGATGTTTGAGTTTCATTATTCGAATTATAGTTAGTTAGGAAAAGATTTGCGACGATTGTTGTTATTTTAGGATTGGTTATTTTTCTTGTTTGTCTTTGTATAGTGAAAGTGAAAAATAGAGCGAAAGAATGTCCCATTGTGTTCAAATTGTTTGCTATGGGTATGCCAGTTGTAAATCCATCTGGTTAAAAAACAAGATTTTTTAGCCCATGTCAGTTTAAATCTTTATAACAGTTACATACGCATTACAGCCAGCCAAATGATGTATATCTGAATATCTGAATATGCAAGATCTTCTTTTGACCATCTCAATCAATACATTTATGGATGGATACATTTATGGATAGAGAGAGAATGAATAAAGATTCCCGTGTTTAATGTACTATATGTATTTATGTATTTATTATATGTACTATACTTAGTTGTTAGATGTACGAAATGTAATAATTCAATATAATTCGATATTATTCAATATAATTCGATATAATTCAATATAGTTCAATAGAGTTCAATATAATTCAATAATTCATATGCCAAGTACATCACCCATGCTCAATTATTATTCTTAAAAATCTGGCAAGGAAAAAAAAATTTTTTTTACATGAACATGTATTAATATTATGGCAAGACCCTGCTGCGAGTTCAGTGTTTAAAAACAGTAAATTATCATCGACTATCATCAATTAAGAAGGTGACAACCAAAGATACTCATTACATTACTGATTTGTGCGTACATGATAATTTACCGCTTACATGCGTAATAAATTACTGTGTCGTACATCTTTTAACCCTATCCAATCATTATTTATTTCTGTTCATTCTTAAATTCGAATCATGCGTAATAATTATGCTATTATGTTTGTTATGTTAAAAAGTTATTATGTTAAAAGATGCTATGTATGTCAACCATAATAGACTGTAAGATGGACTGTAAGATGGACTGTAAGATGGACTGTAAGATGGACTGTAAGATATTTTTATTTTTAATACTCTTCCTTCTTTAGACTTTCCTTCTTTAGATTTT